AGGAACTATAGGTTCTTGTATTAAGTTAAATCTTATGCAGACTAGCCATCTGTAACTCTTTATCTAATAAATGCGTAGAGCGCGACTGTCAAAGGAAAAAAAAAAAAATAAATATCTGAAGACAGGTATACGAATCTAAATCAGAATACTTGTGCAAAATGATGAAAAGGCCAAACAACACAGCTATTCGTTTTTTAAATTTGTAAATTTTTTATTAAAAAAAAAAAAATTTGAAACTCAACATTAAAATAAAATAAAAATAAGGCAGAATTCTTTCGTTAATATATATATATATATGAATGAATCTAATTATAACATCTGTTACATGTAACAAACTCGGAAAATTAGATCGAAACCCAATTAAATTTGTTTTGTTGTTTTTTTAATATAAAATTATGTATATTAAAAAATTAATAAAGATTAAAATTGTAAAAACAAATAAATTTCAATTCAAAAAAACCACCTCAAAAAAAACCTATCGAAAAAAAACCTCAAAAACCTAGTTTTTGGCAGGTTATTCTGAACTCACTTGGGCTTTCCCAATGACAGAAAAACCTCAAAATAATCCAGAATGGACCATTAAGAAGAACCTTAAAGGAATCCAGACTAGAGATTAAACCCGGCATAAAATTTAAGCTCCAGGTGACCCACCCGTTTAAGAAATCATTACTGGGTCACAAACCAGGTAGCTTCAAATAACCCGGTTGACCCGGCTGACCTGGCTAACTCGAGTTAAATCTCTGCTTTCATTGTAAATCTATTGCCCGAGCAATCCTTCAAGTTAACAAACATTTCACTAAAAAAATATAAATATAAATATAAAAACGTTAATCTTCACTATACAGAAGTCTCAAAAGATTGAAAAGTGCAAGAAAAGTATTTTATATTTAGTGTGTGTTCCCAAAGTCAAAGTCGTTAAGATAGAGATTCAGAAATCAAAGTTTAGATTCCGAAGATCAAGATCCGAAGTTTAGATCTTTATACATTTAGCATAAATAATGATCTTAATGTTATTGAAATTATATAGGTAAGTAGACGTGAACTTAGTATAGATTAAATAATAATACATATTGTTCTAATGATCGAAAGGTCATAAGTATCATAGCGATTGTACTAAAAAATAGAAATGCTTAGTTTCATTATCGATTGATTTGATTGGTCAATGTCACTTACTATGAATAACCGGGTCAACCGGGTAACAATATTCATGACCCGGTTCGTGGGTCTTACCCGGGTGACCCGGGTGATTCTTATACGGGTACTATCTCTAATCCAGACCATAAAGCACTACTGAAATCACCAAAAAGAATCCAGAGAAAAGTTCCAAGAACCGTCAAAACGCCAGAAGAACCTCAAAGAAGTCCAGAGAAAAGTTCCAAGAGCCGCCGGAAAGGCCTGGAAGAACCTCAGAAGAATCCGAAAAAAGTCCAAAGAACCAACGAAAGAGCTTAAAGAATCCAAAACGTATCAAATCATCCCAAGAACCGCCGGAAGAATTTAAAGAATCCAAAAGAACCAAATCGCTGGAAATACTCAAAAAATGTCTCAAGAACCGTCAGAAGAGCCCAAAAAAAATCAGAAAAGAACCAAGATAAGTACCTCAAAAAAAAAAAATACAGAGAAAAGTCCTAAGAACCGCCGTGAAAAGCCTAAAAAAAAAATCAAAAAAAATCAGAACACCAAGGATCGCCGGAAGAAGAAAGAATTCAGAGAAAGCACCAAGAACCGCCAGAAGAGCTCAAAAAAAATCCAAAAATACTCTAAGATTCGCCGGAAGGTCTAAAAGAATCCAGAAAAGTCCTAAAAACCGCCGGAAGAGCCTAAAAAACTAAAATCACTACTACCAAGAATCGACGGAAAAACTTCTAAAGAATCCAAAAGAACCACAAAAGTCAGAAAGAATCATTGGAAGGATCTCAAAACCAGAAAACCTATCCAAAAACGAAGACTTTCTAGATGAGCCGCAAAAGTAGAGAACCACCAAAATCGCCGAAAGAACCTCAAAAAAGATCGAAAAATCGTCGTAGTTAGTACAGTAAAAAAAAAAATAAAAAAAAATAAAGACGATAAAATTGTTATTGATACAAAATTAAAATTTTAATAGATAATATTTAAACGAAGATGCAAATCAGTCATCGAACAAAATTGTTCGATGTCCAGGTCACACCACGAGGAGGTTTGCATCATGTGA